CACTAGTGAGAGCCACTGTGTTTTGTCTAAGAAGAACGGCGATTCCCAAATGAGGACTCTCACAGCAAAGTACTGATTTGTAGCAGGTGTGGTTTTGAGGTAGCTTGTACTGCCCGCTCCCTCCAGCTCCCACGTGGGTCTTGGACGCTGCTGATTCCAGTTGTTGTTGCTCCTGCCTTAGTGTCCCAGGCCAGCAGAGCACCCCAATATCAGAGCTTCCTGGCCCAGGAAGGGAAAATGGAGGTGGAGTGTCTCAGCAGGGTGGCGTCCTTGCAGCTCAGCTGTCAGCCACTACAGGGGTGTGATTCCCTCCCGCTGCTGAGAACTGTGGCTAAGACATTTGGTGTGATTTCTCAACATATGGAGAACCAGCCTCATCCTCCCTGGCGTGGTGCCCCTCCACTGGGTCCGGAGGCAGGTGTGACCTCCGGTAGTTCTGCTTGCTCATAGTCAACTCAGTCATCTCTCTTGTAGAAAGAGAGAGAGAGAGACAGAGACAGAGACAGGGACAGAGACAGAGAGCGCATGACAGCGAGAGAGAGAAGGAGAGAAGGAGGGTGGGAGGAGGCAGGGAGGAAAATAAGACAAGATAAGACAAAACAAAGCAAAAAACAGAGAAAACTTCTTTCTCCAGCCCCCTAGGAATTTCCTCTCAGTGGGGGCTCGGCTGGTTTTGCCAGTGGCTCCCTTGCACTTAGCAGATTCTGGATGTACATTTCCCTTAAGACTGGCTGTCTGCAGAACAGGGGAAACAAACCAGAACCCCCCATAAATCAGTAGAGGTCACTGCCAAGAGCTTTGTACACTTGCTGTCCCTGGCAGTGATAAACTCATTGCATTTGGGAAATGGCCAAAGACCCTGAGTCCGATCTTAATTCTCATTCCCAGAAAAGTCTCAGCTCCCTGTTCACCCACCCCCTGTTTACTGTCTTTGTGTTTCCTAGACAAAGCTGGCAACGAGGAAGGAACACGGTTCCATAACTGGGTACATCAAAGGCTGCATTTCTGTGCTTGGGGGAGGAGTAGCAGGGCAGGGGAGAGTCACAGATCCCTGGCTGTGGGAAAGGGAGGCCGGGCCAGAGGAAGGCTGAAGTACAGGCCCTACAGGGGTGTGGGAGATCTGCAGAGGTCCCTGGATTCTGTTTTTCTCAGACCTGCACTTTGGATCTACTACTATGGCTTTGGTTGTTGTTCCTTTGAAGGGTGATTTGAGACTGTCATGACAATGGTCCAGGGCTAGCAATGGGTTGGCAGGGTAAGACCACCTCATGCAACACATCCTCCACTGGGTCGTGTTCTTGCTCCCCACGCCACCCCTGCCTGGGCACCTGGCTTTGGAGTTTGTCGTATGACTACGCGAAGATGAGAGTGGTGCCCTGATGGCTCTTCTGACTCACGTTGACCCCCGGAGAGTGACCATGCTGTCCACTGCTCTTTTTCCCTTGCCCCTAGATTGTCCTTCTTGCTGTGGTTGAGCAGACTGTGCAGCTACAGGACCAGACCCTCCATCCTCCCAATTCCCACAGATTTGGGAGATACATTTCTGTCTGCCTAGGTATTCCTACCTTGATGAGGATCTTTCTGGTAGGTAGACCACCATTCCAGGATATGTCATCCCCAGTTCATACTGTCCTGCTTCTTGGCAGGCCTTAGCTCAGTTGGCTACATGCATCTTGGTGCAAAGTCTTTCTTGCCTAACAGAATCTAAGCTTTACGTTTGTCTTGTGCATGCTGTAATCTCAGTGCCCAACACAGTGCCTGGCACCAAGGAGGTGCTCAGTAAATATTTGCTGAATATTGTTGTGATTAAAGGCTTAGATATCTGCTTTATCCTACTCTGTTTCAGTTGACAAGTTCTTTCTTTTAATGGGCCAGGCTTTTCCTGCCCACAATGAGGCTATAAGAATTAGCTGGATTGAGGGCAAAATTAGTTGCCAAGGCTAGCAGGGCTGGGCTAGGAAAGTTTTCCATACTCCTGTTGCAGCAATGGGGGGGAGGGTTGGGATTTGGAGATAAATACTAGGAATTAAGATTCCTCAATCTTAATTGAGAACAAGAAGCAGGGACCTGTTGCTTGGGAGAGGTGTTTGGAGAGGATCCAGGCATTTGACAGGCCTTTCCAGATTCAGGAGCAACCTGGTTTGTCGGCCAGACCAAAGTGATGCCTGACACAAGAAGAAGGAGACAGTGAGTCACTTTTACTCTGGGTTAACATTTGTACCTTACATTTCAATGTTAGAACAATTTAAAGAGACAGCACATGAAAGCCAAGACCAACTGTGTCCCTCAGTCTGGGCTCCAAGGCTATCAGAGCTGGACGAACCAAGGTACCCTCACTGTCTTCCCAGAGAGCAGGAACTTGAGCCAGCCATAAAGCAAAAGAGGTGTAGAGTCTGCAGGCTTGCTGAACATTGAACTCAAGCAGAGATTTCCAAGAAACCATGTAAATTCAACTAACACTTGACCCTGTGCGGGTTGCTGGGCATCTATAAAAGATAGAAACATATTGTTCCCACTCTCAAGGAACTTAAACTAAAGTGGGCTGGATTTTTGTCTGAAATTTTCACAAAAACACTTAGTGAGGTATGTTCACACTGAGCTTGTTAAATCAGAACACGTCTGGATTGTCAAAATGGTCTCAGAATGAAGCAACCATTTAATTTCACTTGATTCCTCACAGTGGGTCCCCTCTCATGAGTGGGGTTACCACCCTGCTTTTGTAAATATGGGGGCATCTCAGGAGAAAAGAAGCCGGTCCCCAAATAGGAGTCTGGGGTCCACCGACAGAGAGGGCGCCACGCATGACAAGACATTTCTCGTGTTCTGCTTTTGCTTTCTTTTTTTTTTGACAAGGAAAAATTGTATACCTTTGTGGTGTGCACCGTGATGTTTTGATCTGTGTACATTTTATTAAATGGCTAAATCAAGCTACGTCACACATGCATGACCTCACGTGCTTATCATTGTTTTGTGGTGAGAACACATAGCATCTACTCTCCTAACAATTTTCAGGTATACAGCAGGTTGTTACAGTCACCGTGATGCACAGTAGATCTCTTGCACTCACTCCTCCTCTCTGACTGAAATGTCCTTTTGATCTATACCTCCCCATGCCCCACCCCTTTGCCCCCGCTCAGCCCGTTCTGCTGCTTCTATGAGTCCGTCTTCTTTAGATTCCACACGTAAGTGGGATCATACAGTATTTGTCTCTCTGTTCCTGGCTTATTTCACTGAACATAATGTCTTCCTGGTTCATCCATGTTTTCACAAATGACAGGATTTCCTTCCTTTCTTAAGGCTGAATCGTATGTCATTGTGTGTCGATACCCCGTTTCCTTTATCCATTCACCCACTGTCGGACACTTGGGTTGATTCCCTGTCACGGTTATTATGCTTTCACTTTCCTTTACTCTGGGTGGGGAGACAGTCTCGGCAAGCCTGGCCAGGCATCTCTAAAAGGTGTCCGCCAGCTGATAGGAGATCTCTGCCTCCTCCTTCCGTGCCCTCCCTGGGAAGAGGACCCAAGGAAGAGGCCCTCAGTGACCAGCCCTGCTCTCGGCCAAGCGCCCTCTCCTCCCTGGCCAGCTCCCCATCCCCCAGCATTGGGGCCTTTGTCTAGCTTCGTGGCATGAACAAGAAGACGCTTCCTCTACCAGCCCAGCCACTAACAGTCTCATCCCTAGGGAAGCCCACCTCCCTCCTAACAGGTCCTCTCTGGGGACAGCCAAGCTTTTCCGTGCAGCTGAGCTGAGTTCCACTTCAACAGATAAATAATCCTTTTCCCACTCACCAGTTCTCACTTTTAATGGACCAGGATTTTCCTGCCCTTGATGAAGACAGATCTGTTAGGAAGGAACCATGAGGCTCTAGGAACTAGCTGGAAGTCGAGGGTGAAACTCATTGCCAAGCCCAGAATGTAAGTGCCTCTAGGAGCCCAGGAAAAGAGGTGGCACCATGCCACGGCATGTGCCCTCCTGGATGGGAGCCTCAGGCCTGGAGTATTTGCCCACCCACCCTGTGATCTGGTTGCCCAGAGCACCCTTCCAAGAAGAGACGGTGGCCCTGATAGGTACAAACTGACTTGGTTGCATCATTGCCTGTGGGGTTTTTTTAGTTAGACTTTTTATTTTGAGATACTTGTAGATTCACATGCAGTTGTAAGAAATAACACAGAGATGTATCACTTACTCGGTTCCCCTCAAAGGCAACGAATGTCTTGCAGAATGTAGTACACCATCACAGCCTTGATATTGACATGGCTGCCATCCACGGGCCTTATTCAGATGTCCCAGTTTCACTCGTACGCATGTGTGTATGTATGCGTGTATTCAGTTCTGTACAACTTTATCACATGTGTAATGTGTCAAGATACAGAACCGTTCCATCACACCGAGATCCTTCCTGTTGCCTTTTATAACCAAACCACCTGCCCTTCCTCCCTCTCCTCCTCCATCCCTAACTCCTGTTAATCACTAATCTGTTCTCTGTTTCTATAATTTGTCATTTCAAGAATGTTATATAAATGGAATTGTAGAGTATGTAACCTGGGGATTGGCTTTTTCATGCAGCATAATTCCCTTGAGATTCCTCCAAGGCGTTGGGCGTATCAATAGTGAGTTCCTTCCTATTGCTGGGCCTGTGTTTTTAATCATTAAATTAAGCACTGCAACATGGCCCCAAGGCCCAATGACAAATCTTTTGCAGCATGATACTCAAGGATCTTGTACTGTCAGAGAGAAAATATGAGGGAACTTCAAAAACGTTCGTGGAAAAATAGAATTTAAAGATAATATGAATCTTTGCACAAACTTTTGAAGTACCCTCGTATGTTTTGTTTGGTGTTTCTAAGTGGAGGGGGCACATTGCCAGCTTTCCTAGGTACATGCAAACAAACCGAGGTTCCTTTGTTTCTTTCCCCCAAACAGTGGTCCGCTGGCTTGCCATCTCCTTTAGCACTGGTTGACAGTTCTTTCTGTCTCCCCGCCTCCTTCCTTCCCCAGGAGCACATCTACAAGCTGATGAAAAGTGACAGCTATGCCCGCTTCCTCCGGTCAAACGCTTACCAGGACTTGCTGCTGGCCAAGAAGAAGGTATCTTTGGGCAGGGTGGGCTCGCCTTTCCTAGCACTGTTGGCTCCTGCTGCTGCTTGCTGCTGGTGTGACATGAGAACACCATCCCTTGGGTTTTGTTTATTTTCTCTTTTCTTTCCCTTCTCCATCTGCTCCCACTCCAATGGAAAGCAGTTAGGATTGTCACTACCCCAGCCCCTCCCCCCACCCAAGGTCCAGAATGTGGCATCCTGCCTCCATGTCCCCATAGCCTCCGTCTGCATGTTTTGCTATGGGGGGTGTGGGCGGGAGTGTGACCCATACCAAGGCTAGAGTGGCTCTGCACAGCAGTACAGGGCTGGCAGTGACACCAGCGAGACCCTCAGGACACCAGAGAGAGCCCCTCACCACAGACTTTCCCTGACCAGCCCGGAGATGCGTGAGAGGCAGGGACTGGGATTGGGCAGCTCCATCACTGACAGAAAGCCTTGTTGGTGCCAAGGGGGCAATCTGGCACCTGAAGTTACCCCGGGCTTGTCTCTCCATGTGTTTCCTTCTTCTCTGTCACCTGCCCCACAGTGTTCCCCTTTGCTTTTAGCTGAGAAGTAACTGCATCGAGCTCCTTCTTGCTCCTCCACTTGGAATTAAGTCCTGGTTCCCTGCAGCCCGTGGAGTCGTGGCTTTGGGGCCCAGGGACCCTCTGCATGCAGGTGGTGAGGGTGCCTGAAGCAGGGATGAAATCCACTGGACTTCTGGGGGAGGAAGGGTGGGAGGGGCAGAGGTACTGGTGAGGACAGGCGAGAGAGATGGCCCCTGATCGCAGTAGACCTGCCACCCTCTGTACCTTCAGCACCCATCCAAGGCCCACGTGTGGTTAAGTGTGGCTCGGCTCCCCTGCCATGCCACTTAAGGCACATGCACCCTTTCTTCTCCCCTCTCTCCTCCTCACCCTGGTCCCTAAGTAGGTGGTTGTCCAGCCCCAGGCACACTGGCAGGTTTCTCTCCGGGCCACACGACCCTTCTCTCTGTGTACTCTTCACCTCATAAGCCCAGATCCTGTCTGCGTATCTGGTTGATACTACATAACTCTGGAGTTTAGGAGAGCATTTATGCTCTGCCCTCCTGCCCTAGGTAGCCCTGAGAAGAGCCCTAATAGTCTGAGAAAGAGAAAGGGCTTCTGGAACATCCCGCTTGTCAGAAACCCAGCTCTCTTGGCTTCTGGCATCCTTCCCTCAGGTGTAGCTCCTGTGCTGGAGCTGCCTTGCCAGCTCCCTTGCTAGAGAACATGAATGGAGGGGTTCTGGTTGGGGAGGCTGACACCCCCACAAATGACTCTCATGCCCATTTTTTCAAGAGCTGGAGGAAAGAGAAAGGTTATGGAGACTTTTGTTATCTCCAGCCCAGATCCCTTGGGAGAAGGCCAAAGTAAGTTTTCCTTATTCCTGTGGCTCAAGACACCTGAACTGATCACAATTTGGGGATATTCTAAGGCTCTAGCAGTTTGGCCAATCTGGGCCTGTCCACACAGTTAGAAGTCAGAGACCACTCAGTCTCCTCGCGGGTTTGAGCACAACGAGGAAATGTGGCATGAACCAGGAGGTGGGTTGAGACGCCTGTGCCAGCAGATGCCCCCTGATGAGAGGGAGACTTCTCAGAAGAGGGCATTTGAATGAGGAAGGAACTGAAGGCCTTCCCGTGAGATGTCACCGATAATATCCTCCCTGTCCCCAAGTGAATGGATGTTCTTGAAGCAGAAAGCCCTTGCTGATGCCAGCACCTTTTCAATACTGGGGGTTAATTGTTTCCCAAAACAGTGACAAACCTACTTTCTCCTTTCTTCCTGAGAGCCCCAGGTACAGATCTGATTTGTAACTTGGCACTTTCAGGTTGGCTTAGAAGCTCTTCTGATTTCAGGGATGGGCTCACAATGTGTTATTATGTCCAGGTCATAAAAGGTGTGTGATATTCACAACCTCCAGCTGGGAGACTCTCACTTTTCTGCCGAGAACAGCCCCTGATGGAGTCTGGAGGCACAGCCTTCTGATCCTTTATCCCTAATAACTACTTTTTAATATTTTCAAAGTAAAGGATAGTCGCTCTGAAGAACCAGATCCTCAAGGGATGGGTGAGCTGGGTTGTAAGGGCTGCTCCAGGACAGTAAAGTACGTGACAGTTTTCCAGTGCAGGTCAGATGGCCTGTGCATGGCAGAGGAACCTGAATGAGTCAGGCCAGCGGCCACCCTCTGGGAGCAGCACCTTGGTAGCCAGAGGACAAGAATGATAGGTACAGAGTGCTAGCTGCAGGGCCTAGGACTGCCAGGCTTGAGCCAAATGTATGCCACCCAGACCACCCATGGGATTAGAGCTGAGTCCTGCCATCCCCACAGTAGAGACATGGCATGGTACACAGAGCCAAGCACAGATCCTTCAATTCCTTGTACAAGAAGAAAGCCCAGCCCAACTCCATGATGGTGTGTCATTTGTGGTGTGTTTTCCTTCTGCAACCCCGTATCTGTCTTCTAGCAGCTGGCTGAGTGGCTGGGGTCTGGCTGCCAAGGAAGCCCTCAACTTCATCCATACAGACAGATGGCTGCCTTCGGCCAGCCCCTCTGCTGTCAGCACATCCTGCAGACCCACAGACACCTGGCTGCCTCTTCAGCTCCCTAACTTCAATTATTTGCTGGGTGTGTGTGCGTGTCCATGTGCATGTGTGTATTTTGAATTTTCCAGCCTCAGCCTCAAGACCCTGGTATAGGGCTCTAGAATAAGCTAGCAGATATATGGGATGTACTTCTGCTGAAACCTCTGCAGGGAGGAAACATGGGGGGAAGATCAGGAGCACACCTCACCTCTCTGTTTCCCGTAGCAGACAGCAGCTAGGCCTTAGTTTCCTCTTGCCCCTGTCCAGCTAAGAGGTCCTCAGGGAGTTTCCTGAGCCTCCTCTAGCCTATCCTGAGCACACCTTGGAAGGGATCACCTGCCTGGGTACTGAGAGAGCACTTTCTGTTCAGATCAATGTCTTCTGAGGCCCAAGACCCTTTGTCATTGCAAAGAACATGGGCAGACCCTCCTTGCTCTAAGGACACAGAACGAGGGTCATTAGGAAGTCATTGAAGTTTAGCTCACTCTCTGGCTGCCTCTGGGCAGGAAAATCTCAAGAGAGAAAACAGGCCTAACCCAGACTCAAGGACGAGTTTATGGCTTCACCTCCTCTATGACTTCACCTCCCTGGTGGCTGCTTCCTGACATCCCACCAGTGTCCCCTACACCCCTCATGGCCCTCAGAGCTATTCTGTGTCACCACACATAGCCCCCAGATGGCTGCCTGGGACCTCGTGGCCAAAGCCACCAGGGCTCCTGCCTTTGGACACGGCCAGTGGAAAGCAGGGAGCACTTGAAACCGCCAACCACGGTCCCTGTGCAAAGCCTTGGTGGCTCCTAACCCAAGCCCTGCAGCACTACTTGTGGCCCCCCGAAAAGCAAGCCCCTCCCCCAACCCCCCGCTTACTTGTCCAAGGAGGCAGCGCCGTTGCTCGTGGGCTTCTGTTTTCTGTCTCTCCCGTTGACTCTGCCAACAGCTCTGGCTGCTTCTCTTTTCCCGTTTTTCCCCCCCATTTTGCTTTTGTTTTTGTTCTTCTTTAGTTGCGGCTGCTGCTGTTTGGAAACCACATGTAAGCTGAAGATTTTTTTTTTCTGTATTTTTTTCCCTACCTTTTTTTTTTTCCCCCCCTAAAGCCAGAAAGTGAGCAAGGTCGTAGAACTTCCCTAGAAAAGTTCACTCGCAGTGTGGTAAGTTCAGTCGGTTTTTCTTCCCTCAATGTTTCTTTTGGTTTTGTATTTTCAGTTTTGTTTTGTTTTGTTTTGTTTTGTTTTTTTGATTGTTTCCTTTGGGGTGGGAGGGAGTCCAGTGCTTTCTCCCTCAACTCACCCCTTTTCTTTTGCGAGTGTCTGCAGCTTCTCTTCTAGGGATGGATTTGCAAAAAAGCAAGTGATCCCCTCTGCAGAAGGTGCACACTTGACCGCCAGCCTCAGGCCTGGGCACTTGATCTGTTCAGGGCTTTGAGGAGGAAGGACCCTGCTGCCATTGGGGCTGTGTGGTTTGTGCATCTTCTGCAGCAGCCTGGGGAGAAGGCCATCCAACTATACGATGAAATAAATTGGCTCAGAACCATAGCTCACCTTAAAAAAAAAAATCCAAATTTCCCTCCGTGGACCCTGGCAGTCACACTGGTATGGGTCGCACACTGATGTTGCTGTGCAGGTGGCTTTTGCTGTGTACAGAAAGCGGCCGTGCTGCATGGGTCCTGGCAATGTAGTCAAGCTGGCGTGTGTGTTAGTCACCTCTGCATGAGTTCCTTACAGCCCCGGCAGCCTCATTTGCATAGTGTGACAGGGAAAGGAGGGCAGGAGCTGAGTCCCGGCACAGCACTGGCCCTGGTACTCCCCAAGGGTAAGGTCTTGTCAGGCTCCCAAGGCCTTGATTCTAACAGATGGGGCAAAGACAGGCTACAGGTTCCTTGTTCTTGTGGGGAAGTGGCTTTCCCCCCCATGCACACCCAGCTGAGAGAGTGGTAGAGACCCACACAGTGGCACATGAGGAGACCCCCTGGTAACAGGTGAGAGCCGTCAGTGAGTGAGTCTTCCCTGAGGTGCACAGTGGAGATCCTACACCAGAGTCTGTAGAATAGCAGGGACCTGCCTCCTCTTTCCATGCTGGTGTCTCCAAGGTTTGAGCACAGTGCTTGGTGCACAGGAACTATTCAATCCCACTCATTCACTGGCTTACCAAAAGCAAGCCACTGAAGTCATGGGGCCCAACCTGCACCGGTAACATCAAACCAGAGGGAACCAAGACAGCAGCTGGGGGGACAGGGATGCCATGCAGGAACTGGCTGCACCTCCCTGCCCAAAGGGTGGGAGTCCACTGATGCTGACTTGCCTTTTCTCCACCTGTGTGGAAGAGGAACGTCCTCATAAAACCTGATTACTGTATGATGAATATCCTTCTTTCATTCTTTTAACATAAATTCTAAGAATTCTGGGTTGAAAGCAACCTAGTCACTTACCTGTCATAGCTAGATGCATTTTAACCGCATTTAAACAGTATTTCGGATTTGCTAGACGTAGACATCACAATAACTCTAGTGGGTTGGTGGTTAAAATATGGGTACTCATCCCTTCTCTTGTTTTGTCTTCCCTCCCTATGGTCTTTCTCATGAGAAAGCAGAACATGCAGATGCAAGGCCTGTTGGTCCCTTGTCTGTCTCCGTGGCTGTTTTGCCATGGCCATGTGGCTTCACACACCAACAAGCTGCCGCAGGCTGTCAGAGGCCAGGCCTGTGGAATTCCCCCCACCCCACGATGGCCCCACAGAAAGTGGTGGGGTCCCGTCTCTCTGTCTCTGTGGAAGCCTGGCTGCTGTGGGTGGAGGATGTTTAGGGACTTCGTTGACAGGCTGAGAGTGTACTGTGTGGTCAACTTGGACTCTCAGGTGCAAATGTAAGAAAGTGGAGCTCTGACAGCCCCATAGAGATCTTCAGTTGACCATGCGAGCCACGGGTGAGAGAGGAAGCCCAAGACTTGGACGAGATGAGCAGACATCTTCAGGCTGCTTCTCATGAGGAGTGGGTAGCAGGAAAGGCAAGAATAGTTTCAATGAAGCTCTGTGAGGAGCATTTATTGATTTCCCTTCATCCCAAAAGTGGTGTTGGCTCAGTGGTTCTTCAAGGTCTATTAACAAAGCGTTCAGAATGAGAAAGCAGCAGACCCCCTCCAAGCATCTGAAGTGCGCACATGGGAGAACTTACAGAGATGTTTTCAGGGAGGACTGAAGGAGAAAAATATCCCAAGCTTCTCAGGTCTTTAGCATCTATATGATAAAAGGCCCAAACTTTTAGAAAATACATTCTTAAATTCCTGCTGCTCTTTTTAGCACAGGAGACTCTAATGGGTGGTGTGTTCAGACTTTTTGGTTCCAGTGGAGGATGGAGTTCCATTGAATCATCCCTGCTCCTTGGGCACTTGGGATAGTTCCACATCCCCATGAGATGTGGCTGAGTGTGGGGATATGGCCCGTGGCTGTAGAACCGTGTTGGCTCTTAGATTACTCAAGGCTAGAACCCAAGAATTTGGTCTCAACGGCCAGTGTTCTAATCAAATAGAAGTAACCAACAAACCAATATGCCTTGCAATTTGATGTCCATTCTCTGAATATTATTTATGTAAAATGTCTGATTTCTCTCAAACATCAATGTTTCACCTGCTACATACTGCAAACCATAAAGCTCAATGAAGGGCTCGTTCAACGGCATTGCCATGTTGCTGGGAAGGATGTGTAAGAAGACCACACACATCATGGGGCTAATAATGAAATATCAGAGGAGTGAAGCTGGACAGCTCACAGACCAAGGACATGAGGCCAGCTGCCATTTGGTACTAATCAGTGGCAAAAAACCATTACTCCAGGTGGTTTGATAGCTCAGTCAGCTACAGTCTTGTCAAGACAGACCCTGAATCCAGAATTTCTCCCTAGAACATGCCAATGTCCTTTCTTTTCTTGGTAAAGGAGGAATATTTCAAGAAAGAAAATTGTTTTTCCAAGTCTCATAATGTATCATGACGTGGAGGGGTTTTCTGTTGAAGGCCACAGATGCCCCTTTTATATGAAAACCTAAGGAGTAGTTTGATGTGGTTCATGGGAACTTCTTGGGTCATGCTAGTTTGGGTGCAGAAGGGCCTGGCACCCCCAATAGAGGCAATGCTGTGTGAGCTTCTTCTTCCAATGGAAGTTTTATTCTAGGTCACTCAGGACTTGAATAGACCAAGCAAATGTCTGGGGATGCTGTGCCAGCATTGTGTTTTGTGGACTGGAACCATAAAGCCTGCCCCAAACCTTGCTTATTTAACAGGGAAGGCTCAGGTTCAGAAACAAACGAGTGAAAGTCCATGGCAGGGTGCACCTTTATTCAAAACCGAGAACAGGATTCTCTCTGCTGGGCCAAGCCCCACAGATGCCCAACTGGCCAAGCAAAACACAGGCTGGATTTCAGTCCCTACGTGACCCTCAGCTGCCTTTGCAGTGAATAACCCACACCACTGTACATGGTGGCCCTTGTCCAGGAAGCTGCAGTTTCAAAGATCTGTAACACACAGCCACTTCTCAAGGGGAACCCCAGACATGGCCTCAGGTCAGATGAATCAGAGGTTGTCTCTTCCTCGTCCTCCTCACTGGCCTTTCTCAGTGGCCATAAAATATGGAAACCACAGTAGGAAACAACTGGCTAGTCATTGTGGGTTATCTTTGCATCACCTTCCATCCCTTCTTCAGATTCTTTGGTGAGAAGTCCTGGGTATTCCTGACTGGGGAGGGAGGGGGCTCTCCTCTAAGCTAAAGACCATTTCCTGCCACTCAGTGTGGAACAGCTTGTCAGTCTCTGCTGTATTCCTGGTGTTGCAGTTGACAGATGATAATGGGGGCATGAGGGTGGCCAGAGCTGAAAGGCTTGCCGCTGCTCTCCCTTAAGTGTGCCTGTCCCTTCGGATTCCACGGGGTCTACCACAAAGGCCCGAGGGCTCAGCAGGGCCTAACTCTGACATAGAGAACCAGGAGGAGATGTGGGAGGGAGGGCTAGAGGAAGCAAAGGGCCTTTAGCCAAGCCGCAGCCGCAGTGAGATGATTTTCCCTTTTTGGATGGTGGCCGAAGCCATCTGGTGAGAACTCCATCCCAGGGAGAAGCTGGAGAAAGTCCTCTGCTGCCTGTGTACAGTTCTGTGAAGGAAGTCACAGAGGGAGATGGCACTAGGTGAGAAAAAGCAGCCCAGTGATGCGCCAGCCTCCCTGGGTACCTTTGCCTGGGTGTGCCCACAAAGCCTCAGCTGCCCTCTTAGCTTGATCAGCTCTCACCTTGGGTTCCAAAGATGGGAAATGAGGTTGCTGGTGCTTGAGCAGGCACTGGAAGCCACAGAGGAGAGGGGAGCTGAGGACCAGGCATCTATCCACCTCCTAAGAGAACATCGAAGTTTAGCTTTGCCAAGGTGCTCCTTGGAATTGCAGCAGCAAGGGCCAGAAGCTGAGGAAGCCTCAGCACGTGACAAGTGGCATCTCTGCGACAGCCTTTTCTGTCCTGCCTGCCAAGGAATGCAGCAGGAAAGTCAGATGGAGATCGGGAAGCTCTGGGAGCCAGCTGTCACTCCCCCTCCCTTTCCCCCTCCCCCTTCCCCTTTCCTCCCTCCCAGGCCAAAAGCCAAGGAAACGCTGATGAGAGCCAGGAAGTCAACACTCATCCACCCCCTTCTAGGCAGAAAGAAACTGCAGAAAGAAACCTCCAGCGCCAGGCTTAGGTGTTGACCAGAAGTGTAAGCCTGGGGCTCCTGGCAGGGGAGGGAGAGGGCAGATGACCAGGGCAATGGGCCAGCCCAGCAGAGCAGCTCCTTCCCCCAGGGGTCATTTTCTCTCCTCCTCAGCATTTCAGGGGAACAGCCTTGCACCCTGGTGTAACGAGTTCTCAATGCCTAGACTCAGCAGAGCCCCCAGAGGGCTTTGACCTCAGCCACAAAAATCTTTTCAGGCCTCCAGCAAAGGCCAATTGGCTAAAAATCCTTACACGGGGTTGGTTTTGATTGCAAATAGCCCTTGGACCCCTTTGGGACCACAGGGTCACAGACATTAGTGCCAGCCTCTCCCGACTCAGAGCTCTGAGATCCAGCTGTAGTAAAACCCTAGCCCTGGCTAGAGATGGCGGTGGACTTCCATAGTACTATTTAGGAAGGAAAGCATGAAAATCTGCATC